GCACAGCAGTAGATGGTAGGAAAAATCATGTCGGGAGAATCGCATGTTGAGTCTTTGTGGGTGTCAGTTGAGGACACCCCACAGAAGCCTGAAATCCCACCTCTGCAGGCGTAGGCAGCACGGTTTGCAGGAGCTCTCTGATGGCAGAAAGGGCTGTGGTAGCTGCCCTGTCGCAGGAATGTCCATGCAGCAGTATGGCCTTCAGATGCAAAAAGGTCTGTTTATTAGAAATTAAAACATTTCTTTCTCACAGGTAAGAGACAGGATTTTCCCTACAAAAGAAGTGGTGAAGGTGGTAAAATCTCTGGCAGTGTTCAAAGCCAGGTTGGACAGAGCCTTGGGTGACATGGTCTAGTGTGAGACATCACTGCCCGTGGCAGGGGGGTTGGAACTGGATAATCTTAAGGCCCTTTCCAACCCAGACTGTTCTGTGATTCTATGGTTCTATGTTCTGACTATTTGAAAGAAATGTTTCCTTTCAAATTCATTGATCTTGTGTCTGTTAGGGCTCAATGTTCCCATTTCACAGAGATCCACTGCCTCTGAAGGACTGGCATCAATGCAGTTCATTGGGAGGAGTAAAGGTTACTGGCTGTTGCATTCAGTTTGTGATGTTTGTGAGGACTCTGAAAGTTAGGAGATCTCCAAAGGTGCACATTGGAAGGTTGTTGGAAACCACTTATTTTTGTGCCTTAGCTGTCATCTGAAATAGAACTCATTGTGCCTTGTGTCCACGTGTATTTGTGTAGTGGGAGTGTGGTTTTAACACCAAGCTTTATTATAACCCCTGACAAATTCTCAGCTTTTATAATCTTCAGGCATACCGACTTTTTCCCCCACCCTGTGTGTACTTGAAATTAATCCACATGATAAATGGAGAGTGGTCAGAACAGGATATGAAACAGGAACCTCTGGAGTGCGCGTGAGTAGGACACAGATGTAATAGCCTTCAAAATCACACGCTGCTGCTGACGTTTGTCAGTAAAGGAATGGCCTGGAATCCCAGTCCAAGCAGATATGTTGCAATAGGCAGAGGAAGAGATCAGCCTTAGTGTCCCTTGATGGCTTCTCCTGAAGATCTGAGGTTATCCCAGCTGCTGCTCCAGCCGCCAGCTTTCGGCTGTTGTTCCAGCCTGGATGTGGAATGAAGCATTTCTTCCCAGCCCTGATGTGTTCACAGTTTGGTATCTGTGAAGCAGAGACTCGATGTAAACCTGGATGGGGGAGCACAGCTTCGTGTAACTGGACCTTGCCTCTGTTTGCATCAGAATTAACCAGAGGGAAAAACAATGTTTATGCTCTTTTTGCATGTGAAGTGTAGAAAGTGAAGAGATTCACACTGAGATCTGCCAGCTGTGTTGGTCACAGGGGTTTGTGCAGGCCATGCTGCACATTTGCCCCACAGTATCTTACAGTACAATTCAGCTCCAGCCCCTGGTCCTGTGTAACCTCCTCCCTGCCCTCCCCCAGGTCCCTCCATCTTCCTTATCTCCAATACCCCTCATCTGACCCCTCTCTTCCTGGTTTCAAAGTGTCTCCTCCAGAAGCTGGACAAATCAACAGATCTGTCAGGAGATGCAGGAAGGGAACCGGGGCTTATCTGAGTGTGCAGGTTATCTAAGGGGTTGCTCTCAAGAAACACTATCCATAAGCAGTACAAGTTATTCCAAGCCGGAGACAAGTAGAGGCTGGGCCTGAGTTCCTCAGGGCCAGATGTCTTGTGGATACAAGTGAAAGATGAGAACTCTGAAAACAGTGATAGAGTTGCCCTGAAGCCAGAAAGAGGTGCCTGAGATTGAGAAACATGGAAGGAAAGTTATCTTTTTGGTATGTATCTAGGGACTCTGAATTAGCTTCCTTGGTAAGGAAGAGCTTCCTGGAATTCTTCGACCAGTTTTATACCCAGAAGGGAATTATTTGGCGCTGGATTCAGCACACACATGGGATTTTACTTTGCAGTAAGACTACCCTGTGACAAACCCCCTCCAAAATATCATCAGCAAAGCTCTCCTCAGATGCAAACTCTGGATCTGCTTCCAAGTTGGACTCCCGCTTGCTCATTCCTCAGCTGGGTTTGTCAAAACTTCACAACATTTAGTCTTGCTTTTCCTTGCAGTGCTGAATCACTCTGTGATTTGAGTGAGAATTGAACTGCTTGTTACTGTAAATGTTGCTAGCCCCTGTCTGAAATCCAAGCGAAAACCCCTGCAAGGTCAGATTGCTCAAAAACGAGAGCACTTTTATCCTCAAGACTTTCATATGTAACACTTGCACGTATTTTGCTTCCTTTGTCACTTGTGGTCTCTTTAATGACACCATGGGAATCTGAACTGGGGCAGGATCAGGCACAGAAAAAGTGTGACCAAAGGAAAACAGATGTTTTATTGGTTTTAAATAGATTTTTCAATGTAAGAGGTGACTCTCTTGGAGAGGCAACACAGCATCCTTCTGTCGGTGAAGTTTCCTCTCAGTCTTGTAACAAACTGTTGGATTTTTATGCCAGACTGAGCCCTTTTTGGCTGTTTATAATGCATTGTTTGGGGTGACGTGGTTTAGTGGTGGTCTTGGCAGTCCTGGGGTAGTGATTGGACTTGATGATCTTAAAAGTCTTTTCCTATCTAGTTGATTCTATGATTCTACACTGGTCTTTAGTAGATATTTAGAGACTTGAGGGTTTAGCTGTATAGCTCCTTATTTCTGCCCCGGTCAGGCAGGAAGCACATAAAAGGTGGTTGGAAGAGATCTATCTGTACCCACAGAAGTTGGGTCGCAGTGCAGGTGTGTAATGCACCTTTCCCTGAGCAAAAGGTGCTCCCCTCAGGCAGGCAGAGCTTACATCCACTGAAATCCCAGAGGCACATGCAGTGACATGAGAGCTGACACTGGGAGATGTGCTGGGGATCCCTGCACATCCAACCTCAATCACAGTTGAGCTACAGCCTAGAGAACTGCAGCTTTATGGCTGGAGCAGCAATCAGGGCACCCCAGTGCATGGAGTGACTGGTGGGGTACGTAACCACCACAGAGATTTTGCTACGTACGGGGTATTGCACAAACAGAACCAAAGCCCTAATTTGAAGGATTATACTCATGCACACAGAGGGAAATGGAGTTTTCAGGATTCTTTACGGGTGATGAAGCACAAGCCAGGAAGAACACTGTTGGGTTTTCTGATGTCAGTGTGAGCTGACAGAATTGGCAATAAGGAAAATTAGCCTTCAATTATGGGCTAAACAAGTTTTAAAGAAGCCACTGAAGACGTAGCTGGTACAGAGCCCCATATTGCTGGTATTATTTTTGCCTCTCAGAAACAAGACACGCTTAAAAGTCCTTAAGCTGTTCCCTCTCCTTCTCCCTCCTCTGTTGGAAAATTAGTCTCTTGTCACATGTAAGAGCTGCATAAGGAACAGGAACAAAACATGTAGGTGTTCTAATTAAAGTCATTAAACAACATGCGATTTGTTAAGCACATCAAGTTCTGGACAAATTCACACTGCAGCTTTTCTGTTTCATGTGCCCAGGTGATAAAGAACGTCCATCGGGAAAAATTCCATATCTTGCCTTGGATCAGATCTTGACTGAGATTGAAAATGTCACTGAGATATGGGCTGTAGTGGGACTACATGACCACTGTTTCTAATCACCCTGTAATTAGAAGGGGGTTTTGTTGATGATACATATGCTGAGATAATCTCTGCAGGGCTAAGACAAGAGTTAAACTCTGCTTTCATCAGAAAAGACAGTAGTTGATAAGCCACAAGGTGAAAAATGTTACATTCAGTGGTTCTTCTTCGAAAGGGCACTGTTAATGATACAGAAGCATTTAATGGTAAGAAGTCTGTCCCCCTAGATGTTACAATGGAATGGAAATACTTTTCTTCAGTTATTACATTTTGTTCTTCTAAATAATCATTCTAACTAAATTATTTCTGAATCTTCTTTGATCTATGGTATCACATAATTATATCATGTTATTATGATAAATGATGAATATTAAATACTAAATGTTATATGTTCATATCTATAATACAGCGCTGGTTTTGGCAGTGTTGCCATCAACACATATGTCCATGAGGAAGCATCCAGCCCTTTGGCACTGTTTATACACCAGGGAAGTTTGGGACCTTCTCATCTTGTGGTTGAAGGCACCCACTAGCATTGTACTTCATATGAACTCCCACTTAGGTTTGAGTCTACCTACCCTCTCCTTAGAGTTTTTAGAATGGCATTACCCAGAATGATGCATCACCCACATAAAGAGGGAGGAATTCAAATCAGATGGGGAGCAAAGCTCTCTCCACCAGGAACAGGAGGAGATGGGGCTTCTGGCGATGGGAGAAGTGGAGGAGGAAGTGAAACCACTGATAGGGAGAATGGGGTTCTGCGGTAGGGAAGGGTATGGATGTAGTTAAGTGGGACCAGGATGTGGGAGCAACAATTAGCAGTGGAGAAAAGGAAAATGGATGTTCATCAAGCCCTAGCCATAGGAAGAAAATGGAGGAAAACACAGTGATGGGGGGAAAGAAAAAAGCCTGGCTTTTTCCACGAGGATACCCAGCTTGCCTATTTAGGGTAACACTTGTCTTTCTGGCTCCTTCCAAAACTGAAACCCCTGTCTGGAAGAGATGATGCACTTTTGGCCTGCTCTTTGATTTCATTGACTGTAGCACTGAGAATCCCAAAGCAGGAGGTGGGAAAGATCTGCAGCAGGAAAAGAAGTATCAGGGGAAAGTTGATACTTGGTTGAGGGTGTTTTCATTATAGAGCTATCTTTAATGGATACTTTGCTGTATCTCTCTTGCTGTGAACTGAGCCATTGCCCCTATTGCTTGACTTCACTACAACTTGATTACAAGATGCAATTTTGATCCCATCATGTTTTGGATTTGCTTCTGACCTGCTTATCATCCTAAGTGAGGGTTATGGGAAAGGGAGCACGGGAAGATGGCCACCAGTGCAAATGCTACCGTGACACGATCCAAGGCTCTAGGGATAAAATGACCTATACTTTATTTTAGCATATAAGCATGACCACAATTGTCTGTGTCAAGTATCCACAGATTGGCTTTTGCAACATGTTCCTAAGATGCTTATGAAAAATTCCTTTAGAGTGCTCCCGATTTCCCTTCTTGTTTGCGACTCTTGAGACTGCAGATGGGCTGCACTTTAAGTCTTCATGCAATCGAGTTTGAGAACTTCTTTTTTAGACATAATTACATCCCCCCAGGAGCTGGATCTCATTCAACATGCAGAATAAATCACAACACTTAGTAGGACTGTACCAGATTGAAGAAGTCCAGAGAGGAAATCTCACACATTTGTGAAATGCCTCACTTGCACTAGTTGCTCTTTATTTATGTATTTATATTTCCTGCAAAGGTAGTGCAGACGTACAAGCTGTTGTCTTTAGATAGAATCAAAACATGTCCATTCCTCGAAGCGAGAGAGTGAAATCAGATTCTGATTGCTAAATGGGGACAGCTTCACCATCTTTTATCTACTGCTGCTTTAGGAAGGACAAATGGAAAGTACCTGCTCTTCATTCTGCAGTGAAACTAGAAGCCAGACAGAACATTGGGCGATCTAAGCTTCTGGTTTGAAGTGCGTCTCCTGCCTCTGGAGCAGAGAGGCACTGACTGAGCTGTCCATGCTGTTTGGCTACCAAGGAACTTTCCACATCTCTGACTGCCCCTGTTTCTTGGTTCCTCTCTATTCTGAGACGGTTCCGAATGCTTCTTGCGTATGGTCTCTGTGCTTTGAGATAACATGTGAACAGGAAACTTCTTGATTATTTTTCTTCCTGTTAGTTGTTGGGGAAGTCTTCTCTTTTTTCCCTTCTCAGATCCACATGACTACCAGAAGTCGAGGAGCAGATAGGTAAGCACTAAAAACAAACGCAGCAGAGCGAGCCATCTGGTGTGTGGAGGAGGGCTGACTCCTACAGCTCTGATCTCAGCACTAACGTGCGGCATCTGTGCAGGACTGGGGACCGGGATGTGCAGCACAATTAGCCACATGAAGAGCTGGCATCTAAACATCCTGGGGGATGAAGTGCCTGATGCTCAGGCAGCTTTCCATAGCAGACTAAGGAGCAAAACCAGCCCCAGGGCAGTGGGGAGAAGTCTTGGGATGCAAATCTCTGTTCCTCACTGGAAAGCATTGGTCATGGGCATCGTTCTCTGCACTCACACTGTGGTTTAAGTGTTGTGTTTGTCCCTGCAAAAAAGTGTCTTGACAAAAATGTCAGAAGTGGTTACTCAGCCCAACTAAGTTTTCAGCTTCCATCCTCAACTTACCCGATGGGCAGAGCATTCCCTAATGGGATGTGGGGATGACAGAAATTCCTCATAGTTGCTCTTGTGGGAGCTTCTTCAGGCTGTGTCAATGCCAAGTAAAATGGGTTCACAGTATCAGTGTTCCCGAAATCTGACAGCCTTGTAGACAAACCAGCCCCAGCCCAATGTTTCTCCATGCTCTGCTTCACCATGCAACGGCTGACTGAGATGAACTTGCTGACTCCTCACACATCCATTGAGTAAAACCAACTGAGCTTCCAAAAAGATGCTGCTGCTTCTGCTGTCTGGTTTAGGGTTGTATTAAGCCCTTACTCTAGAGCTTCTACTGAGAGGGAGCTTCTCTCAAGGGGAGTGAAACTGATGGTTTCCAAGCTTAGGACAAGATGAACTCTCACAGAGCCAGCAATAAAATTGTGAGTGCACAGCAAGCTGTTAGGCAGTGATCCCTATTCTATCTAAAGTCATTACCTGCTGGTTTATCTCCCCTTCTTAGTGAGACAATAACCTAAGGATATGCATGAATCATAGAATAATGAAGTGGTTTGGGTTGGAAGGCACCTTAAAGCTCATCCAGTTCCAACCCCTGCCATGGGCAGGGGCGCCTTCCACTAGAGCAGCTTGCTCCAAGCCCCTGTGTCCAACCTGGCCTTGAACACTGCCAGGGATGGGGCATCTATGGGCAATCTGTGCCAGTAAAGAAACAGAAGTGAAGGGGTAAATAGTTCATATTCACATCAAGCTTCAAAGACATAAATGGCTAGAGTTGCAAAGTGTTATTATCTGCCACTTTGGAAAGACGCTCCAGATTCTGTGGGATTCAAAGCAAAGTAGAAAATTAGGCTGTTTATTCTACAATTCACTGGAAAAATAAGTTTCTATAGAAACTACCACTTCAGAGGTATTTACATTTCTCTACTATGAAGCATCTTAAGAAAGAGCATTCCCATAAATAGCAAATAGAAGTTGTTGTGTTTGGTATAATAAGCTACTACTTACAAAAGGCTGTGTACATTCTAAGTATTATGATGGGGTTGCTGTATAAACCGTGGATCCATTGAATATATTCGAAGAGACTCAAAACACCCCATAAGAAAAATGAGATAGTGATGTGTAAAGTAATGTGTAAGAATTCCTTTGTGCCCTTCCGGTGATGAATCTGCACTCAAACAGAAGATTGAATTAATAGCTCTGGCAGAGCTGATTCTTTAAAAGTCCATTTATGAGTAAGGTAACAAGAAAAGCACTGACATTTTTAGCTGTAGATGAGGTGCTGCCCATGTATGCGTGTGCTGGCATTTAGAATTTGGGTATATGTTAATGGTACTGAGCTTTGCAGTTTCCTTCAGCTCTCCAGTTGTAAGGCACTGCATGAGTGTATTGCTCTTTATTATCTACTAGTGAAAACTGAATAAATAGAATAAAGAAAATACAAATATCATTTGCTGTATTTGCAGGGCTGGTGAGAGAAGTACATTTGGAAATGCTGATGAGCAGTGGATTGTGTATCCCTACTTCCATCCTGTGTCTATCGTTTTCAAGGAATAGATAAAGCATTGCAAGAGTTTTAAAGCTTCCTTTCTTGTATATAGGGCCAGCATGATAAATGAGATTACAACCCACAGAGAAACCACCTGCCAGTGTCTGCAATCTCATGCTGAGGTTGATGATAGAGAATTCGGGTTGTTGCTGTTGCATACAGTCGAAACTCTCCCAAAGGGAGAAGGTCTGGATCTGGGGTGCCCTCCCAGCATCTGGCAGTCAGCCTTTGTCATGACTTGCTGGGCTGGAGATTGTACCCAACCGTTTAGTATGCATTGGTAGACTGAGGCCTTGGTGAGTGTGATTTCACACTTAAGATGTGTCCAAGGAATGCCATCAAGATGGAGATGGGAAGGTACCAAGTACTGAGCACACCCCACTTCCTCAGGAAAGCAGATTCCCTTAGGAGTATTTATTTGAAAACACATCTGAAAGATTCAGATGCCTGAACATTATTGATGTCTTCTCTGCAAATTGGATACTTTGAAATGCATTAACCAAAGCCTTTAATCAGCCCAGTAGCAATGGAGGTCTATGCTCCAGATGGAAATTAATCACTCCTTTGATAAAGAATGGCTGAAATGGTTCTTGGTACCAAAATACCTTATGATGGTTGCTGCAGGTGCAGAAGTAAAAGCCGCCTAGGTCCCGGTATCACCTGTTCAAGGTAGTAGTTAGAGTCAGTTAACAGACAAATGCAACCCCCAAATAGCAGTCAATAAAAAACAAAGGGCCAAGCTGCTGCTTCCTAAATTGGGTTTGTTCTCTGGCAAATGACTGAATTATAGCTCTTAATAACAAGGAATGCAGTGTATCGGTGCTGTCTTGACCCATTTACTAAATCATGGTGTCTCTCCCATGCCTTTGTTTGGTGGTTTTTCTTGCCCAAGACTTCTCAGAAGTCTTGAAAGCAAGACATAATAACACAGATCCTGCCCTGGTAGCAAATTGTGCAGTCTTTTGTTTCAAGCACACAGCATGCACCCAGACGTGCTCATAAAATATCCATAGCAAAATCATGCAATGCCTGTCTCTCTTATACATTTTTAAGAGCTGTGCCCTAAATCCATTAAAAGACTGTGAGGCTTGAATAGAAGAATAATCCTTCCTACCATATGGGTGAGAAAGGAGTTGAGATCAAGTAACTGGACATTCAAACCGAAACATGTAAATTTGCTGACCACCAATTTTCTGCTGTGAAAATACAGTATCTCCTGAAATTCAGTTCTTTTGTCTAAATTGTTCAAAGCTATTTTGAGTTAAAGAACAGAGGAATCTTGTACATTAAACATGGAGCTGGCATAGTGAGGGGGCAGAGAAATAGAACTGTACAAGAGTCAGAAGATGGCAAGGACTGTGTGTAGTGATAGAAGATGCTTTCTGATTCCAGGACAACTAAGTTAAAGGAAAGGTGTCTTTATGATAGAGTCATAGAGTCAGAGAGTGGTTTGGGTTGGAAGGGAGCTTAAAGCTCATCTAGTCCCAACCCCCTGCCATGGGCAGGGACACCTTCCACTAGAGCAGCTTGCTCCAAGCCCCTGTGTCCAACCTGGCCTTGAACACTGCCAGGGATGGGGCAGCCACAGCTTCTCTGGGCACCCTGTTCCTTACTTTTGAACTATGAGGTGGCTGCCCTCACTTTGGGACTGAACCCTGGAAATCCAATGCTATACATTGGAAAAAAACATGGCCTTCATTGTTTTACCCTGAAGAGAGAAGCAGGAAACCTAATGACATCCCATGTAACCTGGGTAGATGTTCAAAGGAGGAGAAGGGAATGAGCCACTCAGAATGAAAGGGAATTGGGTGTCTGCGTCCCTAAGGCTCTTTATAAAATTACATACCACATCTCTTGCCAGGAGTCCTCTCATCTGATCATTTCTATAGCACTGTAATATATTTAATTTGGAAAATCTACACTCCACCTAAGTCTACGTTCCAGGTACTTCCTTTTCCTATTCAATGTCTTGCAGCTTAGAATCACTTGCAGATGCTTTCAGAGTACATTTTGCTCTTTAGACATATCTGGGATCATTCATAGGATTTCAGAGGTATAAATGGGCTCACAAGCAGTTGGTTTTGCTCCCATGAAAGCTGGGAGTGGACTAGGAGAGGATGGGGACATTGCCTTTACTAGGAGCTGGGTGCTCCTGTCACTGCCCGGGGTTGCAGAGACCCTTGCTCTTTCCAAGGCCCATTTTCCTTAGGCAATGTGAACCTCTTGTCCTGAGGGAAGTTACAGCAATAAATGGTGTTGGTATTTATTGTAAAAGCTTACAGTGGTATGGAAATTCAGATTCAGATGAGCCCCACTCAGCCACCACCACAGGTGGATTCCTTGGTGGGTCAGAAACTCCCTTGAACCCAAAAGCCACGTGCTCTGTTAAAGGCAGCAAATAGTAAACCTTCATAACTCATTCTTGAGAGCATTGACTGTATGCTATGAGTCCACTTTAGTTCAGAGATGCATCATGTATTAACCTCACTGGTTGTTGGTGTCACTCCTCTGAGCTTGGTGGAACTCCTTGGGCGAGCAGAGCCAGTGTTCTCTATAGAAACAGGCTAGGGCACAACACAGCCTCCACGTACCCTAGGGCTTCACTGTGAAGAAAATCCCTGTGACAGAATCTTCAGTAACTCACTTTTCACAACTTTAAAATCAAAGTTTACTGTAAATATGAATTTGGGATTTTTCTATCTCAGTCATCTGCTTTTTAAAATGACTTCTTACTAGAACTGTCTTTGGAGCTTGTGATTCTCTTTTCTGCTTTCAGTTTCCCTTCTGTGCTGCCTTGGTTCTAAGTGGGCCGTGGTTTTCTGAAGCTGTAGCTGTGATGTTTGCTATGTTTTCCTATACAAGACCTGTGTTTAAAAAGAAAACCCAAACAACCAAAACCCAAAATGGCCAACCAAAAAGTAACCTAGCCAAAATCTAATTCTTTTCCCCATGCATTTAAGTTACTACTGTCAAGACAAGTTTAACATACACGGTATAATTGCTTCACCAAGATACTGTGTTCACACCGACCATACTTGTGCCTATTTTGAGGTTTTTAGTCGCCTATGTATTGTTAAATAAAACACACCCCCATTGTGTAGGGGTGTGCATGCACAGATCAACTTGAACATGGGATATGTGGGTATTTGACCATGCCTGGAGGTGATGAAGTCTACACAATCATAGTCTGCTTCCTTTGTTTGCTTGTTTCAGAAGCTGCAATCTCTGTCTTGCATTTATGTCCCTGGACCCTAAGTAATGTCAGGAGGCTTCTGTATTGGATGTGACCTGGTGAGGAATTACAACTAACAGGGAATTCCAGTGAAGATATGAATCAAAGGGTAGGTTCTGCCCTTCTTCCTCCAAGGGAATGATCCCTTATTCCCTGGGAGGTGCCACCCCAGTGGTTTCCTATTTTCCATAAGTCAGTAAGTAGGGACCAAGCAGATGTAAACGTGGAGAGCTGTGTCCCATGTGCTGTGCTCCACACTGGCACTGCAAACACCCTGCCTTTGCTGTCTTGCAAAGCTGCACTTGCCCCGTCGGGCTTGGCAGCTGCCTGAAAATAGCCATTTCCTTCAGCTCTCATTTGCCTGTAACAATCTTGAACTTGTTGACCTTTGTGCCTATTAATTATTGATATAACGTTGCATTATTTAGGCTTGTTTGAGCAGACAGATACATCGTGGCCAGACAGGCTGATGGATAACATCCTAAAAAAAGTCTCAAGTTGCCTTGGTACAACAAAGGGCTGTCACTTCATTACCTTCCCCTTACCCCCTCCTCTCGCTGGCAAAGTACTGCTTAAAACCTTACTAGGAATCTGAAGTATAATAGTGATCTCTTCAGACAAGGGGCTTCATCTTGACTCTGTTGGCGTTGTGGTCCTGATGCTGGTCAAATACACAGAGGAAGCTTCTTAACCAATCCTCTGAGGCTGTGTTTCTTAAGATACGACCAATTGTTTTGTTTTTCAAGCCCTTGCCATGGAAAGGAGACTTGATTTCTCCCTGGTTGCTATGAGCTGTATTGCAACACTCCAGAGACACAGGCACAGCTTGATGTGTATCTCCCAGGGAAACCTGCCTTTGATTTCTCTCAAACCCCGCCGCAGTCATGTTGTCTATGGAGCCAAGAAAAAGGCGTATCACAGCGAACTGTCTGTAACTCAAAACACGGATGTGGAGCAGTTCTGAACCTTCGGGACTGCAGCATAGCTTCAGCTGAAGCAGGAAGGAAGGAACACAGCCCTCCGTGGCAGTCCTATCAGGGTGAGGAGCGCGGGGTGCATCACAGGTGACGAGCAGCACTGAATGCATGACGAGCTTGTGAGTGCCTGCGTGCTGCCTCTTCCCTCTCTGCTCGTCATGCTTTGCTGTGTCGCAACCTGCTCTGATGTCAGAATCCCACTGCTCGATACGTTGTCTCTATGAAAGCAGAACAGGCGGAGAAAGAGGAAGGAAAGCAGGAGGAGGAGGAGGAGGAGGAGGAGAAATGCAGTTTAAGTGTGATAAATCTGGCGGCTCGTTTGTTTTCCAGGAGAAACAGTCGGGTTTAGGGAAACAATTTCAGAAAGACTCATTTGCTGTTTTCAAAGGTGATCTAGAGCCAACTCCTTCGTGTCCTGTGGATCCTTACTGCTGCAGTTGGGCACATACTGTGGGGTTCTCAGAGCCCCTGATGCCTTGGGGGACTGTGTGGAATTCTTTCACCCTCTGTGTAAAAGCAAAGTCAGATTCCCAAATGAGACCCTTCTGTCTCATTTCTGATTCACTGCTACAGCACAGCAGTGCCTGAGTGCCCAGGGAAGCTCCCTTGGTTCAACCTCAACTTGACCGATGTGTTTGACCCCATTACTCAGGGTCATCTCTCTCTTAGGCTCTCCTTACTGTGTGGTCACACTAGCATTTTCCCTGGATTTCAGGAACATCAGCCATGTGCTCTACTCTTCCACAAACCAGGACTTCACCCTCAAAGCTTGTGTTCATTTCCCTCCATTCAAGAGCACTCCTTCCCAGAGGTCCAGCCTTGTTCAGCAGGAGGGGATCTGTTCAGGAGAGATGCTTTAGGTTTGTCAGAAATGATTAACAACAGACCTGAGCAAAACAGTAAATGAGGAAACCTGCGTTGGTTTCCTCACTGCTCTATGCCGTATTGTGGAGCTTGGTCAGCATCTTTGAGACGTCCAGGTTTCCTCCAGCTCATGGCTTCTCAGACATTTTATGCAGTCTCTTACTCTTGCTGACCTTTTGTTGTTCTTTTTCCAGACTGATCAGCCAGGTACCATCATCTTTTATCTCCTTTGTCACATATCTCCTTCATCCAGTGGGTCCATCAGTGCTATCAGGCAATACCAGCCTTCCACTAGACAATCAGTTCCCACCTCTTTGAAACCTCTACTCTAAAGATGGTTTTCTTGAACCATCTCATTTTTCCCAGCACTTCTCCATTTGAATAGCTGAGCATCACGGTTTAGCAGCCCTCCCTTCTAGTCCTGGATAAGATGGAAGAATTTATCCTGCTGCATGTTGTGGGTTTTAGCTCCATATAGGGACAGGGAAGCAACTAACTCCCACACTCCAGTTGAATTTTAAGCCTGACATGAGTACATGTGCAAAATGCAAGTCCCTAACACTGAATTCACAGACTCCCTGTGGACTTTCTGAATTATTTCAGGCTAGTTTACTGAAATTGAATTACATAAAAGCCATACAAACCAGCACATTATTATGTAAAGCTCCACAAAACAAGTGCTGTGATTTTAACTGAGTTGAACAAATAAAACATTAAGTGTCATTTGTGTTCAGGGCCATGTGTTAGCTTTTGAAAACAAAAAGGAAATCAGTGAACCAAGTCACACAAAACATATGTCTGCAGAAGAATGATAAAACATATACTGTATCTGGACATCTTGTGAGGGTGGTTTTAATTCTTGCTGCTGTTGTGGCTGGAGGCTTTTGCTGTGCAAAAAAAAGGCTCCGCTGTGTTCATATGACAGTACAGAATGGGGTTTATTCCTACTGCATCAGGAATAATATAATCCCCTTGCAATAGTGTGGTGGGTTCTGAGTCCTCCAGCTGAGACACCTTCTTGGGTTTGCTGGAACATTGCAGTAAGACACTGTTCAGTCCTGTCTGTGATACCTGTCACCTCAGCCTCCCTGTTATGTGCAGGCTGCATTTTGGGAAGGGAGGCTGTGGTGGTGGCTCTGACCATGCCAAGGAGACTCTCTTGCAATATATGGGATAGGAATGCACTTGCCTCCCTTGGCATGTTACGATTCATGCCAGGATTAACCAAAAAGGCACACTCAGAGGTATTAACCTCTTACCAAAGGTCTCTTTAGTAACTAAAGATCTCTCTGTTCCCCAGATTCATCTTGTCATCTGCCTGAACTTGTCTACTACAGATGCTGCTGCAGCCTGGATCCTGGTCCAATGTGAGGCTGCTGGAGCACAGGTACCTGTATCCTGCAATCCTGCTATGGCATCTTTGTCATGCTCGAGGAAGCAACAGTTGTCATGCATTTCTGTCAGTGTTCAGGGCTTAGGCCAAGAGTATGACATCTCCATTAGCTTCTTCTTGCCGAGCATGCTTTCATAATGTAGGTACGTGTGTTTAGCTGTCAGCTTGATTCTTGCAACAAAAGGAAAAGCAAACGAGTAATAAATAGAGAAGTTGCACAAGTTGCCTTTAAATAATGGCATTGGGTGGAACACGTGAAATAGGAGCTGTGGCTACAAAGCAGATGCTTCCTATTTCTCCTGTGAGCATGATAGAAATTACAGCTGTTTAAACTGCTGCAGCAGCTAAGGAGAATACTGAAAGCCTGAAGATGCCTTTCTGTCCACCCTGCTGCTCCTGTTTGGGGTTGGTAGAGTAAGAAGTGAAGAACTGAGCCCCAAGCTTCATGCTCTTCCACTGAAGACTGGTTTAGTTCCAGTGTACTGAGGAAAAGTGTTGTGAATACACGCTCCTCTTTTCTGATGTGACAGTCACTGGTGCTTCAGAAGGCTCTGAGGGCCCAAGTCATGAAGAACTGACTAATCAGGCACTGAATTTTCAATACTCTTTTGAATGGCTGTGGGAAGGGATCTCTAAATACTTAGAAGAAATCAAGCCTTAAAAATGGAGGCATGGTATTCCAAAAATATGGGAACATGGCTTTTAAAAATCCTCCATCATTTCACTCTTTTAAAGGTCTTACTTTAGCTGTAGAAGGCAATGACTCATTTTTGCAGCATTTCATCTATTACATGAAATATACTTTTTGATGAAGGCAGGTTAATGTGACCAATAGATGCATATTCATCTATCAGTACAGTTGTATTTAAATCAATGAGTAGTTTAAATGATTAATACCAGCCCAGATTTCTTCAAACATTATCATTTAACATGAACCCACAAAGATCTTATTTAAAAAAAAACTAAAATACTTCTTCACATGTTTGGTTTTTAAACTCTGGTGGTATCATAGAAGTGAAATATGAATACATTTAGGCGGGCAGAATGTCCTCATGTGTTCTTGGAATATTAATGCTTCCAAAACTTAATGGAATATTAATGCGTCCAAAAACTTCCAAAATTGGAAAATTCAGATTTTGAAAAGAAATAGTGAATTTTAGTGTTTCTTACACCAGTTGTTGACACAACATCTTTAGACTTCATTATTTACATGCCAGGATCACAGAATTCTGGAAAGAATGGGAAAAATGGGTTCTTTGGGACAGAGATCTGTGAAATACCACATGCCAGAGCGGTTCTCCTAGCCCCCAGCTCATGCTTTGCCATGCTTTTTCCTGGGGTCTTCTGTGTCTTGGGCAGTGAGTTATCATGATGAATTTTCCTGATGCCCCACAGCTGACCCCAAGCTCTTCTCTTTCTAGAGAGCCTCATGTGCCCTTCCTTGTCAGAACATCACACACGTCCACTAAAGATAGGAGCATGTAAGAACAATCTCCTTGCCTCAGAGCAGAGAGGAACAGAAATAACAAGCACTCTGTGTGCATGAGAGAAAACCACCTTCAAACCCAAAAGATCTTGAGACCTCCATTTGAGGGTATTTCAGCTTACAAGACACATCGAAACCCGTGTCCCTAACATGTATGTGTGCAGATACCTCCTACACTTAGCGATAGTACAGTAGTAATCTCTAGGACTTTCTTCCTTCTCATATTAAAGTTACAACCTCATTTTGGTTGTGGTTTAACTTGGATTATCATCTAGAGCAAACAATGCTCTTGATCAACATGCTAACAACAGATGTGTTGTCTGTTTGAATCTAGACATAAACATGACCTTTTCACATGCATTTTTCACCAGAGAAACAAACCCCTGGATATGATTTTATCCACAATGATTTGCTTAAGCAACATCTTTTTTTTAATGAAATGCTAATGTTTTATGGGGGAGGGAGGGATAATTTTCTGGGCAGTTCTGAACTAAACCCACCCGACATGGATCTAATCAAGATTTTACAGCTACTTAAATGGATCAGAGCAAGAGGGAGTCATTTACACTCAGTGTGCAGAGCGGTGCCCATGCACCACCATCAGAGATCCTTGATTGAACCTCAAGAAGGATGCTATTAAGCTTTTCACATTAATTATGCTTCAAACCATCCCTCTAGTGATAGGGGGGCTAATTTTCAATTGATACACTTAAATCAATTCCTTCATGGACAGACATTTGTTCATTATGAACTCGTTTTACACAGGGCCACTCTCGGAGAAAGCAAGCTAATACTGTTCCGTCAGCAGTCAGGTGCATTAGAGAAGCAATCGCTATATGTCTCCTCCTGATGTGTTTTGATGGTGCTCATTTCTTCTGGCATGCTTTTAGTTGCCAGTGATTCAGATGTGTCAGCTACTATAGCTGTAAGGAAACATTGATGAGGGATTTATAACACCCAGGCTTCAAGTTCCTGACCTGAAAAATGGCTCAGTAGTTGCTTTTGAAGCAGAATTGGTTTTTATCCATACAAAAAACCATACTTCCTAAGTTCCCCTATCTGTGTTTTAATGTAACATTTTATCCTGGATATAATTCATGGCTCTTGTCAGATAGTTTTCACTATGAGGTATAGTTGGGGTAGCTACTGAATTTATGGAGAGGAATCAACCTAATCTCTTTAAAAGTGAAATTGTCTTGTAAAGTGTCTGCTGAACTCTCTTGTATGGTGGTTCTGCAGTGTCTCACTGTCTGTATCAAGGAGGAGCTTCTCCAGGCAGAGCGATGCTAGAGCTTTGTCAGGGAATGGTTGTCCAAGGAGGGATGCTCTTCAGAGCAAATGAAATTTACTGTTGTTCTTTGTTATATTGCTTTCAGGGCAGCTCCCATCTGAAATCAGGTCTCACCAAGCTAGGTGCTGAAGAGGTACAAAGGAGAGCACAGCCTCTGCACTTAACAACACCACAGAGATAGGTTAGAAGAGTCGAAGGAATGCAGACAGAGCTTTCTTGCTTCCAGCTGAATTCCAGAGG